TGAAATATATCGAATCCACCCCGAAATATATTGAGCACTCGTTGAATTGAGCGCATACACAGTGAAATATAAGGAACATCGCTTGAAATATACTGCAACCTTCTTGGTTGCAGGCGAAATATAACGAATATACCACGAACGATGTGGAACCGCCGCGAATTGGTTGTTTATTTCGCGAAAAAGTATGGTGAGGTCCTGAAATTAACCGAAAAAAGGTGTACTATTCTACAGTAATGATATGATGCTTCATCGTGCATGCAGTTTTCTGAATAAAAATACGACCAGGACGAACATTTTATAAAACCAAACATACTTTATTTCATACTTCAAGTATAATTTTAAAAGGCATAACATCCTGTTATTAACTACTTCGAAGTATAATATACTAGTATTAATAGTACTGTAGTCCCCAAAACGTTGTACAAGCTTAAATTTGGTCAAATGGATTCGAATGCTATTTGGCGAAATAACGCACAAGTCCAAATTTGGGTGAAATGTACAATACCAACACGACAATTACATTCTTATTTGTTCGGGGCTGAGCCACCAACGCTACCTCCTTCTAAACTTGAGCATTCTGCATGGCTTCAAATTTGAACGTTGGTTCATCGTCTCAAAAGCGCATTTGAGTCCCAGTGAGCGCAAATTACACGAGATTTTGAGAGCCTCACATTTTGCATGTATTTTGCTCATCGATGCTGTGTCTTCTACTTCGCTTTTCTGTTTCATTCTACCTAGCACATTCTGCCATTTTATGTTGTACAGTTCTGAATGTCTTGTCCAGCGTAGCACCTTCGAGGCTCAAGGTTTACAGCAAGTTCGTCGTCGAGGTACTGATGGTACGACTGTTTTCATCTTCGTCACCAGAAATGATTTCGCCGTGATCAAGTGTGTTCGCACTATCTACGCGTCGAGAGGAAGAGTTTGTGACCAATACAAGTCGCATTCGACTTGATTTGAGTGAGCGGCGTAGTTTTTAACATTCGACTCATGTAGAAAAGAAATGTGCCGAGAATCTGTGCCACCTCGCACAAGAGCAGCCTCTTTCAGTCGTCGTCAAAGCTATGCCGCTATTACTGGAGGACATACCCCGACACGTGGATGAAGAAGGCGTGCGGCGCGGTAGCACCGTTTGCCGACGCGTCGTACTCCCGTTGCCGGTGAGCACAGCCCCCAACAAAGTCCTAGTCTTTCACCAAGCTGGCAAAGACTGCCTGACGTGTCAAAAGACATCAAGATCCTTGTGTCCCTGTGGGGACAAAACGCGGACCAGTGTGTGACTTCATTTTTGTGGGTTCACTGCTCACCCCAATGGTAGATGAGGCTCGATTCCGCATCGTACAACGGTCGTCGCAGTATGGCCCAAATCAGAACTGGCCGAGTACTACGACGATTTGTTGTTCATGCTCACCAGCACCATTCAAGACCAGAAAACTATCGTTTGCGTTGCGGCCTGCGAAGCGTTGTGAGCGTAGATCCCGCCGCTGCCCAAACGGCCCCTGATCATTACCGAGCACGTGTTGGCTCGGCTCACGACCGCACTTCTCAAGAAAAGAGAGTCTGCCACGTATGTGGCCCGACCTCAGATGCGCCTTCAGCTACGACGCCAGTTGCGTTCAGTACTGACCAACCGCCGCGACATGAACGAGGGTAAGTCGGCTGCGGCCACGGTGGTTCCTGTCCTTCCGTTGGCCTCCAAGTCAGTGGTTGACAAAGACTCGTCGTGCGACGCTGCGGAGGCCCAGCGGTGGTCACAAGGTGCCTTGGGCCAGTATCTAGCTCCAAGCGTGACCAAGGCGTGGTGTGCACTGCGTTCGATGGCAACGAGCGTGACCAAGGTGGTCATTGTGGTTTAGGCGATACTCTGCTCGGTCTATAGATTGATGCAGCGGATTTACACTTGGGCGACCAAATCGTCCAACGTCGACATCACAAGTCAAGGGGTGGTAATCGCCTAGCTCCACTTGTGTCGCCACGCCATTATACCCCGGTGTACTGTATACTACAATAATATATCTAACGTATAATGTTAATGCATACAGTAGTTATTCATCGTATGTGTAAGGCCATGAGTGCACCTCGAGTATCGAATTGACTTCATCAAGTAAGTCATAAACTTCTAGCATTCAGCAACTTTCCACGCAACGACAGCAATGTCCGTCGACCACCCACTTCGCGTTAAAGTTGTGTACAGTACAGAAAATCCATAATACATACCTTTTGAACATTATACTTCATCTTTCCAAGTTCATTCACGATTTCTGCTGGTTGTAGCAAACATTTTCGGACGGAGGTACTGTAGTATATGAAAAACCAATGTCGTTAGAAAGTAGTGTAATTATATATAAATTTTATATCCACGAAAATATAGATCGATTCGACGAGGTGGTATTCTCCAGATCGACGACAGGCAAGTAGTCGCCATACAGTACATGCAGCATGGCTCCATTTAGCCCATACTGGCACCGACGGCTGGACCAGCTCCACTATGGGAAGGAGACTAGTAGTTGACACAGGCGGTTTAGTCACGGAGGTGGCGGCCGAGTGGAACCCATGCAAGTCCATCCACGAACGCGCCGCAGACGGCGACCACTGTGTACATTTTTATGCCAGTCAGAGCGCATCCAGCAGCAGCGACAGATGCAACACCGTCTCGACTTCCTCAGGAAACAGGAGCTACGACATGACATGTACTAACTAGTAGTTAATACTCAGTACTACGTAGTACAGCACTGGTACAGTAGTAACGTTACTACTGTTAATAGGATGGAAGTATAAATTATTGAAGGAGTTGTAGGTTGTACTGGTTTGTATGAGGTTTCATCCGGTTTGGACACACTTGACCAGTCTAAAAGCAGTAACGTTACCACAGTCTAAAAGCAGTACTATTAACTGTATGTACCACACGACTTTTCGACTGCCGTTCAGGGCAAACTATGGCTTACCTTTTGCTTCACAATCCTGCGTAACACGGCATGTACTGCTACATTGTCGTGATGAATAAACAGGGATTACACGGCAGGCGGCCGCGCTACCGCAGTCTTTTCCTCGTGCGGTCCTTCACACGCGTCCACCAGTCAATTGCTCGTCGAGAGCTCTTGAAAAACATCCACCGAACTTCTACGCCGCAGCACTTAATTGCACAGGTCGGGCGCCTCCAACTCGTTCCAGCGTCGTGATGGCGAACATGCTGTGGTCATGGTGTCGTCGTGTACTGCAAATGCGCTACATAGCCCTCCAACGTGGTCATTCCGTCCAGTACCGGACATTTGTACTGTCCATTGTCGACAATTTGGACTCGTGCGCCCTGTGGTCGGCAATCGACGTCGACGGCCAGCCCGCGACGAACTCGTTCGCTCACCATTGGTACCCTGGCTTAGCCGAACCACAGCAATGCCGCTACTGTACTGAGCTACGGCAAAATCACTCAATTACATGCCATGAGTCTCGTTTTTCCATGCTGTAGCTTCTTCACGCGGTAATCGCATCTGCCCACAGATGTCTCAACAGATGTCTTTGATTTGACGCCCCCAGTTAAGGCAAAGCACGTGGTTGGAGGTTACGGTTCCCGCGAGCCCATTTTTATACTGCTACAGTATGTTAAACCCCCGAAATCACCCTCACAAAATTGCAGAGAACGTGTGCAACCACCTGGACTTGACTTTTTCCAAAAGCCACGACCATGCAACGGAAGGCCGGAACATAGGCACTAACGAGGCCCAACGATTGACCAAACAAAGACCCCCCCTCCTACACTTTACCAATTGTTGAGGGGTGATGGGAATGATAAAGCCGGTTCGCACAGTCGTTCGTTGCAGTGTTGAAATATTTCAAGTGGCATGGCGAAAAAATACACTGTATTAGTTGCTTCATTCTTGTGGCCATCAACCATGAAACATGTGGTAACTAGGACGACGGTCAACACAATACCTTACTAGCACTGTAGCTTGCAGACACTTCAGTGTTCTAATGAAATATGTACTTGGGCTCGAGACCAAGCACTTTGCCTCTTGGGTTTTCAGCGTCCACTGTTGATACTATTAGTTGCTAAGTGGCTGCTTAAGGTCAGCAACACAATGCGTGTACGTAGCATAACACCCACGTTCATCATGTTCGTTGTCGTTGATCGTTTGATGCTTCCATATTGGAAGTCCAAGTGACAGACAATGAAAAGTATGATCCGAGGAAGTGACATCCAGTTGGACTCACCAGCCCCCCGTCGATCAATTCACATTCCACCTCCCACCACACACAGCCATAATGGACCTTGCCTGGCCAAACGCTCCCTTCGATGAAGTCTACCGATATTGCGAAGTCGATGTCATCGCAAATACACACGACTTTGCAAACCCCATTGACCCTCAAGAACTTCATGATCTCCTCAACTCCAAACCTCCAAGAAAGAAGTTCGCAGCAAAGGCAAGGGTGCTTTTGGAGGAATATGCGCAGGAAATGCGCAACCTTCACGTGGCGCAACAACGGGCCAAGCAGATGGAGACTCGCGCCGACATAGAGTTTTGTAAACTCGTCCAAGCGGTCCTCACACAAGACGAGTTGAGGCACGTCATCTCCACAAACCGGTTGAAGATAGCGAAGTTGCAACAATACATGAGCCATAGTACGAATGTACGAATAGATTAAAATTACTATTAACGTTAATAGTATTGTCAAGTCGGTTCGTAATTGGAGACTTGGCAAATCGATTTGAGAATGAACTAGCCAACCAAAACCCATTCTAAACCCCCCTTTTCAAGTTTCTGAATGGCTCAGCCAATCAATACGTTTTCTAAAAAACCGTTGCAGATTGCACTCACTGTACTTTGTTAATACTAGATATACAGTCCAAATTTGCGTGAGAAGGACAATACAGGCATGCTGTAATATTGATCGTTCTCTGCAGCGCTGCATAGTGCCTTGTGGCTACTACACAGTGGACTGGAATCCAAATACCGGTACCTAACAATATAAGTTCAAGTATTTCCAGGGATTGCCTTGCTTGGTACTACATGCAATCGTAAGTTCATCGGTCATACGTTTTGTAGTATTTTTCTTAGGACAGGACAGGCTACCTGTAGTTAGAAGCTAACTGCATCGACGCCTCCTAACTTTCGTTAGCTGTATGAATCAGGTGTTGCTACCGCTGAAGAAATCATGGCCATTTGCTAACTATAGAGCGACGACGAGCAATGGAGAACAATATGTCTATGACCGGCGAAGTGAGCCAAAGCACCAGGCACTAGACGCCTTTGCGTTTTCTGTAGTCACAAAAAGCCTAAACTTCGTTTTGCGCCCTTCATAACACATTTGCATTCGTACGGGGTTTCGGGGTTTCGGGGTTAGTCATATCGCTATCACTGTTGCACGCATGAACGAACGACCAAACGTTTGTTCACAACATTGCGTAATTTAAAGACTAACACGTGAAGTGCCAATTATGACATATGTGCCAACTTAATATGCACCAATCACACAGTGAACCTCTGAATTGCTATTCGTAAATACAGGCAAAAAGGAAGGGTAAATTATACGACTTACATTGACACTCAAAAATATATAGGTTCCGCCTCTAAAACAGTTTCCAAGGACTACAAGCCTTGCCTAAGAGCATAAGACCTCAACCATGGGGTGTTCCCTTGGGTTCTCCACGTTTACCGTTAGTACCTTTTATAATTCGAAAACCATGGATTTTTCGAAATTGAATGCGAGTTGTAACGTAAATGATCGATTTATGATACACTGATCAATTCATGATACGGAAAGCAGCCAATCACGAAGCAGAAATCAGCAAACTAACAGTAAATTACCCTAAACACGAACTTTCGAAGCATTTGGGTATAAATAGATTAATATATTAACACTGTAAGTTTAAACTGTGTATCATAAATTCATCATCCAAAACAATCTAACTTTGCTTGGAAATTGTAAATCACGTCAAATTGTAAATTTGACGTGTCGATTACCGCAAAACTAAATACTTTCGAGTGGAAAAGCAGGCCTGCATTTCAGCTACAAGCATAAAATTTTAGAGGCGAAATTGGACTTTGTAAGCATTTCGAGGAGATTCGAAGGTTTTGCTGGGGCACCTCTCTTACATGAGTCAACAATTAATTGAACATTTATTGTGCTTTTCACTTGTTTTGGCGTCGGTTTTACGTGGCTAAAAGAGTGGTACTTCTGTTGTAACTGTGCTACAAAGTTGAATATATACCCGGTGTTTTACCTAATTCAATGGGGTTTTATAAATGCCAAATAACTCTGAGCAATAATAATAACATGTGATCCTGAAGTGACCAAAACACCTTGGCTATTAATTCCATCGCGTAGTACACGCTACCTGCATGTACTATGCAATGGAACAAGAATATGGCGTGGTTTTCTACGATGTGGCACCATACGTACATCGCTGTACGATAGAACACCGGCGCATGTCCTCGCTGTGTGACATTTGTAATATCAAAAGTTGTTTAGGCTGGGTCTGGATGCCACAAAAAATGGCATAAAATTGCCGTTTTTCGAAGAAAAGTTGCCAAAATCAAAATATTCCATTTTTCGAGATTTTGTGCATCTGGATGCCACCAAAGTTCAAAACTTTATGCCACGGTTTTCTTGAGAATCGGGTGTTTTATGGCATAAATAAAATGGACCGATTTGGTCCAACGTTATTATGGAGGTTTGTGTTCATGTTGAAGTCTTGCACTTCACAGTCAATCGGAAATCGAATAATTTTTCCATAATTCAACTGGCATCCAGACAACTTTGTAAATATTTCTTTTCTCCTTTATATCGTGGGATATGAGACTTTGGGAAATTTTTGCAGACTTGCCAAAACGGTTTATGGCATAATTTTATGGGGTGG